CTTGTTTGTGTGCCCCAATACTTGAGTTTATGCCAAGACATTTATACTGTAGCAAGGCTATGAATGATTTTGATGGTTTTCCCTTAATTCATATGCACTTTTTTTTCTGAAAGGCTGTCAAATACTTCCTTATAATATTTCTTGTTCTGGACAAACCACATAAGTGACAGAATTCAGGTGGGAAGTTGCCTCCTTTGATCACCTAGTACAATTCCATGCTCACTGGCTTCATCTTTACGTCATCCCATGCACCAGGGCAGGCAAGTCTGTGAGCAAGTGGATTACTGCAAAAACATCATTAATGCAAGATGGCAGCTGGAATTTCCACATCCTTGTATCCCTGCTTCTGTGAAGTTCTTTGTTTGTTGTTTTTTGTTTTTTATGGGGTTTTTTGGTGGGTTTTTAAAGCAGCTTTTAAATCAACAGAGTGCATGAAGCCTCTGAAGCATCTTTTACACCAAAGTAGATTAAATGGGATATTTAATCAAATATACAGGTCAAACACCTGTGGGAATCAGTGATGTTTGTGGGAGATCAGAATGTAAAAAGCTTCCCATTTGTATTAGAAAATCTTCAGGAATTTTCCAGAGACTCTTCCAGGCCAGCTTCAGAAACTGTTGAAATAAATGAATAGTTGGAGCCTGGTGGACTGAAGCCATTTGCTTCTGTCTATTTAAGCTTCTGTGGTGGGATGGGAATAATTGGGTTTGCAGAGACAAATTCATAAATTAATTTCCATTATGGGACTCATTTATATATTATATTATTACTTTCTATTTTAATCTAAGACACAGGTTAAAATCATGTGCTAGCTTTTTGGGACAGTTAATCCTGGTATAATTTGTGGCGAAGTGCATTTTGTAAGCACATAAAATGTCACTACACCAAAGCATCTTTTGGCTTTGGACCTTTTTGACTTGCCTCCTCCTTTGAATCTGTGGTTATTTTTATATTCAGGTCTTTCCTGGGATGCTCAATAAGAAGTATTCTGCCAACAGAATTTGTGCAAATTTACTTTCACAGAAGCCTTTCTGGATTCACTATGTACCCTTGTGCATTCAATCCAGCTTTAGTATGAATTTAGAGGATAAAATAATAGAGTTTTTGACGCTAAATATGCTTGTCAGGTGCAAATCTGGACATCTGTGCTGGTTTGTGCTAAAAGCTGCTCCAGCCCATCCCAGTATGGCCACAAACACCACAACCCCTTGCTGGTTTTCAGTGGGTGACCTCTGGGTTGGCACTGTGGGTACACTGAGAGCACAAATAACTTCCCCAAAAGTCTCTGGGTCACTGTGTCTTTCTTCCTCTCACATTTTAGTCTCCAGATGGGAAACTCTTACTGGCTGCTGACAGGCAGTGCCATGTGCACAACTCCGTGGTTACTTGAAATGCAGAAGCATCATTTGAGCCTGCAAAATCTCTTGTGAGCTATTTATTTTCGCTGGTACAAATTGTGATTGGGTTTGTGTGTGTGAAATATTTATCAAAAAGGGTGAATTTTAAAAAGCGTGTAGGCAGGGGGTTGTAAGTGTGTGTAACGGGTTTGGGGGTTTGTTGGGTTTTTTTTTTCAAGCAGTTCAGCAGATAAGAAAGAGCTTCTGAGAAGCTTCTTCTGGGAGGATGTGCATTCCCAACTTCAACCATTCTGCAATGGGCATCCCAAGCATAATGATGGAGTTCTGTCTACTTCATTGCTGTTAAAAATTATTGACTGCCTTTTCCACTGAGGGAATGTTTTGGTAATGGAAGGATTAGGATGATGCATTGAAGAAATCAAGACTTTTTTTTTTTCCTATATTTTTTTAATCTTTTTTTTTTATTATTTTTTTTATTTTTAATTAATAGAACAAAGTCTGCAAAGGTCTCTTTTTCTGGTAGTGGTTTTTTTTTTTTTTCCTTTTGCACCTTCCTACAGGAAGGCTGCTCTGGTGAATGTGTTCCAGCTCATGCATCTGCCAGCTTACAATGTGCAGGTTATTTTACTGTGCAGGTTATTTTACTATTATATTATATTATATTATATTATATTATATTATATTAATTATTTTTCAACCCATTTCATAACTGCATTTCTGGGGAAAAAAAGTTTTTATCCAGGCTGTTTGGACTATTTTTAAAGACATTCATGAGATCATATTACTTCATAAATTAATTCTCTCAAAGTAATTTCCATCCCACTGCCCAGTAACCAGATGATAATAAAGGATGATTTTGAAAAATACAGAATTCTGAGGCTTTTCCCAAGAGTCCAGAGTGGATAGAGGAGAGTTGTTGAAATTGTGAGATGTCCCAAAGGGCAGTTTTCCTTGCATTTTGTTTCTTGGATGACCAGATTTCATTGATGTAGCACAGACCCAGCCTCCTCACACGTCTATTTCTATTATCTATTTTCACTTATAGGACATAGCAGAAAAATGTTTTGTGGAATAGTAGAAGGAAAATAAGAACCTCAGGTTTTGCAGTGAAAGATTGCAGAAAATATGCAGAAAGATTGGGTTGAAGAAGAAGGAAAGACACAAATCTGTGCCTGCAAAACAACTTTACTCTTTGTTTCTAGAGCTTCCTTCCAAACACCTAGCTGCTAAAAGAAAAAGTAGTTTTTGAGTGTTTTAAAGAGTGGGATTACATTTAATACAGAGAACACAGGTGATTATGAAATGAATTGGCACAGTTGGAATAGATACCTGCTTTACTGGTTTACAAACTCTCCTAGCCAAAGCTTGAAGTGGAAGTTGAGAGAGATTTGCCTCAAATTATTCACACCTGGAAAAGTTTTGCTGAATAAATCAAACTAAAACTGTCAGACAAACCTGCTTGAACTCTGGTCTCTCACTGCTTAACAGCCCTTCCTGCAAGCATTTGGCTTCTCGATGAAATATTGAAGAAGGGTAAAAGAAATAATGTCACTTATAAGCTGTTGACAATTCCCAAGTTATTACTTTGTAATCATGCTCCAGTTTTACCCCCTGAAGTGCTAAAGACTGTGAAGATGAGGTTCTGCTCTTCTGGTGCCATGATACTTTTGTTCTCTAGTATTTCCGTAAGACTCTGAGTTAAATAACCTCCAGCTCTCCTATCAATATTTTTATTTTATTTATTTTCAGATCAATCTTTTCAGTCCCAGCTCTTGTAACTGTGCCTTTTCAACAAAGCTGCTATAAACAGTCATTTACAGGTTCTGTTTCTGAGGCAGCTTTAAAAAAATGTGTTGTATATATTTGCTCCTGCTCTAAATGTTAAATATCATTGCACAGAACGATGGGAACAGATGGGATGCTGCATAAGCTGTTTATCATATTACACATTTATCACTTTACACTAGTGAAGTGTACATGTGTTTGATTAATATTGACTTTTGATTTGTTTGGAGGGCTCTATTTTTTGACAGCATTAGGGATTACATTGTAATCCTTACTGGTTTCCAGGCTTGAAATTTAATTCCAGTAAAAATAGAGTGGATGCATTCCATAATTCTTAATTACATGATTTTTTTTTTTATGTGAAAAAAATTACCTGGTTGAGGCTTTAATACTGGAAGGATTCAGAAGTAAATGGGTACACTGTTTGCTTCAGTATTTTAGACAGATTAAATTTAGATGCCATTGGTCCAGCTAAATAAATATCTCTTGGAATTAAATACCAGATGCTAAGGAGGTGTAAAATAAAGCAAACCAGCAAGAGTCCTATTTAAATCAATATTCTTTTATACCCTCCACCTACAGAATGAGAGAACTTCGTCTTTGCCTGCTCAACAGGTCTGGATGTTCAGCATGTGTTCCACCTACGTCACAGTACTTGGAACCAAAAAAGCATCTCCAAAAGCACCCCGAGCTCAGGCACAGAGCACACAGCTCGTCCTGTAGGCTCCCCACTGCAGCACTCTGTTGAAAAGACGGCTTACCAATGCACTGGTTCATTAAAATGCATTTTGGCTCAGCTGAAGCCTGAAAAAAGGGAAGGTTTTCCTTCCAGACAATGGATGGAAAAATGATTTCAGGTTGGAGTGGGGCGGCTTGTGCTGTTTGTTCCGCTAAGCAGCAATAATATTTAATGAGAGATTCTGCTCTGAACTGTAAATCCTTTAGAGTGTGAGATGCCCAGCCTGTCAGAATAAATAGAGGAGGCTAAAAACACTTACTTTGAAAATGACTGTTCATTTTGGGAGGCATTGAGTGATCTCAGTGAAATATTACTGAGTCAGTGGAATTTTGGAGAGAGATCAACTTCCCAGCATGTATCCTGGCAGCAGCTCTTCCTCCATTCCTCAATATCTTTTATGTTCAAATAGCACAGGCAGCACTTCAGTCTTACATGTTGTCATCATTCAAATTTCAGATAACTTTCAGTGACTCCTTATAGATTGAATGAATAAATAAATTACTTTTAGCTGTGCTTATTTACATGCCTCTGCTTTCTTCTATGTCTATTAATTGATATTATGGAAAGACAAATCCAGCAAAAATGATGATTTAGTACTAGAAATTACTGAGAGTACATATACATATATTTTAAAATATATATATAATATATATATATTATATATATATAAAAATATATATATTTTTCCCCCCCTAAGCTAAGTGTTGCAGTGCAGTTTGAAGTTTAATTGGCATGACCACAGTTACTGCTCAGGGCTTCATGTATTTAACTCTTCTTTTTCCTTGGACACTCTTTGGACCTGCTATGGCCCTGTTGCCTTTGCTTCCAGGACAGGAGATCCTCCAGAAACTTGCAGAAGTAAAATTCTAGTCATTGTAAATAAAATATGTAAAGGGCATGATTTGGTTGAATTTATTTAGATGTGCATTTCCCAAAGGAGTAGCTTTGTTTTCTGGTCATCATGTCAGCTGTGCACTGTTCCTTAAATACATATTTTCATTAAAAGGCAGTAACTAGAAATTCTGTTTCTATCTGTTCCTTCCACGTTCTTTTTATAAAAATGATAGAACAAAAAGTTTCTGCATTTTGGTCTAAAAGACTCCTTCCTTTCTGTGCAGGTTAATAATGAGAATGTAGTGAAAGTTGGCCACAGGCAGGTGGTGAACATGATTCGACAGGGGGGCAATCACCTCGTGCTGAAGGTTGTCACAGTAACCAGGAATCTTGATCCAGATGACACAGCAAGGAAGAAAGGTACATTTTTCTCTCTTCCTAATGGACTCTTCTGCTCTTCCTTCACAGAAAACCAAGAATGGGCATGAAATTACTGTTTTCTAAATTCTGATTTATTAGACTTTGCTTCTCAAATTTGAAATGCCCTGTTCTTTTTTAAGTTGGAGTGATTTAATTCTGTTGGGTTAGACATTAACATGTGGCCAAAAGAGCAGTGTTCTCTCATCATGCTTGGCATTAATCTCTGTGAGTTTTCCACATGTATATGTCTGAGGATCTTGTAGTAAAATTTCTTGCAGTAGTGAGAGAGGAAAAGCACTAAGAAGAAATGATCTTTTATTAATTTCAAATGTACTTGAAATGGGGGTAGTTTAGCAGTGTTTCTCACCCACCCATCCAAAAAACCACCATGAAAACTTCACCCCAATAAAAAGAGGAAACAAAAAAGGAATTTACACTGTTTCCTTCACCTTAGATGCCCCAGAGTTTGGCTTCCCAGCTATGCGGGGAAGTCATTAGGCCCTCATAATTATAATTAAGCAGGAAAGATTGCTGCTGCTCACTGGTGCTCCTTGCAGCTGCAGCACATTGCTGAAAGTTCCTGTTCCTCCCACAGTCCCATGAGTTATCATTCACACACACCTGGCTCTTCAGCACGGGAGCAGGTGAGGGGCTGGCACTCCAGCATCCCTCCTGCTCCATGAAATTAAAACTTTATGTCTATGCTGGAAGTGTTTTTGACCTCCACTGCTTATTAAATATAATAATAATTAAAAAGCAAAAAAGAATGAGACCAGCTTGTGGGGCGGAGGGGAAAGGCTGTGTTAAACTAAATCATGTCCCAGCATGGTCTTGCATTATTTTTGGCTTGATGGAAATACTGTTCACACATTTTAAACAAACCTTTTTGCCTCTGCCTTTTGGTATATATCATATTGACCTTAAATGTAGACACAGGACAAGGGGCAATGCTTTAAACTGAAAGACAGCAGGTTTAGGCTAAATATTAGTGGGAAATTCTTTACTGTGGGGGTGGTGAGGCTTTCCACAGGGTGCCCAGAGAAGCTGTGGCTGCCTCACTCCTGGAAGCATCCAGGGCAGGATGGATGGGACTTTGAGCAACCTGGGATAGTGGAAGGTGTGGCAGAGGGGTTGGAATGAGATGATCTTTTCTGACCACCAGAAATATTTGTTACCAGGATACTAAAGCACAGATGGTAGTTTCTGTGCTAGATTATTGCCTGGATATTTTAAGATCTTATATATTCTGAGGATCACCCGTTTCCCTTAGAGTCACCTTAAAAATTCAGATCCATGTGAATGGTCTTTCCTGTATTTCTCGGATTGAACAGTTTCTGCAAAGATTAAATTAATCTGCCAGAGATTGGCTGGTGCCCAGGAGGTTTTTAGCTCTGCATGTTTCTCAGAAGGGGCACCACTGCTGCGAGGTCCTTTCTCTGGAAAACCCTTTTCCTGCTGGGAAACAGAAGTGCACAGTTATTTAGCTTTAAATGTTTCTATGTATCCTGTTACATAAAAGCTTGCGGATGTATCAAGCAACCTACGCTAGAGCCAGAAACAGTGGAGAAATTCAGTCCATGAAAAGCATCTCAGGGCTTTTTCCTCCACATGTAGGTATTTATTCTCGCCTTATTTCATGGAGCTTATTCTTTTAAATGGATATGGAATTGTGGCTGTGAGCATAGGGCTTCCAGAGGGTGTGTTTTGGCTGACACTTGTGTTTTTCTGTTCCATGCACAGCCCCACCACCTCCTAAGCGAGCTCCAACCACTGCACTGACCCTGCGCTCTAAGTCCATGACCTCAGAGCTTGAAGAGCTTGGTAAGAAAGTGTTTTTTGGCAAGCATGCTGGCTTGGTGGAGATGTAAATATCTATCTATATGTCTCTATGTGAAATTGGTGAAGGGAGCTGCACTGTGTACAGTGTCTAGAGCAGAGGAGGTTTTAAGAATGCTGCATCTTTGGAGAGTTCAAAATGTGCATGACTCGCATGAACGATTTTTGTGGAGACTTGTGCCTTTACTGCTGCGCAAGGGAATGTTGATACATTTTATGCATCATCAAAGTTTGGCACATCTACCAAAAAAGAGAAAAAAAAAAAGAGAATAAAAAAAGAAAATAATGCTGTATCATGTTTTGTTAGCTTTGCTTTCTAAATTTTCAGTTCATCTAATATTGTTTTATTTTAAATTTCTGTGGCCTCTCATTAGTGGATAAAGGTAAGCTGCCAGAAGCTGTTATTAAAAGCTGACAGTGTTAAAGCAGCTTCAACTTCAACTTGTTTCATTTGATCTGAAAAAGTGCATATTATGATATCACTTTGACTTCCGTGCATGATATAAACTTAACTCCTCTCACTATTGGTAATAAAAATTATTGAGCATTCAGTCTTTTATTTGCTAGTTTTGAGAAATGTCATTGTAGATTCCTTTGCTTGATCATCCACACTCTAGATATGCATAATTCTTCAGGAATTTTTATTCATTTTCTAGAAATGAGGAAGGTAATTGTTCTTTTCTTCCTGTTTTTAATCTGTTAGGTCATTAAAAGGTAGAATTTCTGCAGCTAGACATGGAAATATGAATAAATCGTATATAAAAAGGGAAAAGCCCAGTGCATATTTCTATGTGGCTATAACAGTAAAACAGTGTGTTTAGCAAGTGAGAAATGGTTATAAAGCCAAACCACATCCTTCACTGCAGAGTAATAATATAATAATCCACACTATAAAATCATTTTTCCATGTAATTCTACAATTAAATACTTAATTTTATGGTCTTGGGGTTTTCCTGACATGGACTCATCTGAAGGCCAATTGGAAGGAATCATAGCCTTGTGGCCCCTTTTCTTCCCCCTGTAAGTCAGTGGTTTTTGGGGCAGATGGACCCTATCCATCCTTTAGTGAGTCAGGTCATGTAACTCCAGTGGGAAGTCTCCCAGCAAAATGGTGCTGAAGCAGGTACTGTCTTCTCTATGGTCTAACAACCAAATGAAGACCAAAAAAACCACCCCAGTCTGATTATTTAGCTCCAGCAAGTCTCAGAAAATTTGGTTTTTATGTACAAGGAAATTTAGGAGCTTAACCCAAGGTGTCATCAGCTTGTGAATGCTCCATTATTTTTCTTCCAGGATTAAAATGTAAAATATTATTTCTGGAGCACACTTTGTGGGTCTGGATGTTTTTCATTTTCTTTCATGGAGTGCTGAGAGCTTGTAAAACTTTGCTGGTTTACCAACCACCTTTCCCAAGGGGACAGCAACATTTAAGCACCATTTTTGTCCCTTTGTTATCCTCTTCTGTCAATTGCTTTCAAGCTGAGGATATTCTTCTATTTCTCTGACTTTTCAATCCTCCACAGGAGATATTGATCTTAAAGCCCAAGCAGCACTTTCCTAGGGAAGAATAGCTTGTTAATAGTAATGTCCCCAGTGGAGACCATCATATTTTAGCTTTCCCACCCCACTGCTCAAGCTGTGGCCCTTGCTCTGCTGTTTGTCCTCACCAAGTGGCAGAAACCACTGCAGCTACTTTAACAAGCAGCCATGGGACATATTTCCATTTTTAAGCACATTTCCCATTCATGCCTTTATCCAGATGGAGTAGACATTGCAGTGGCAGGAGTTTTCTGTTCTGAGGAATAGTCCTGCACCATGTTCCAGAGGTGTTTGTCCCCTAGGAAAGCTGTAGTAGTGGCAGAAATTTGCTTTCTTCCTACAAAAGTCTGTAAATGCCACTTCTGTGCTACTCTGAACATTTGCCACCCTAGCAAACAATGTGACTGCTGTTCCAAATAACATCTGTGGTCTACCTATTTTCATATTTGTCCCTTTGTGGAAAAGGGCTATTACCAGAAGGGACAAGAATTCTTAAATTGCACAGCAACTGAACAAGCTTCCACAGGGAAAGTGTTCTCCCTATCATCAGTTAAAAGTTGTCTCCTGACATAAAACACAGCTTGTATGTGTGTATTTATCTATAATTTATATATCCCTCTATGTATTTGTGTATATATTGGACATCTGTGAGAGCTATGAGAACACCCACATTTTTATAGCCATTAAACTCTCTAATGAATGAGTTCTTTCATGCCATATATGTGCAAACCAAATAGGAAGAACCTATAAATGAGCACTGTGGATGTTCTCATCAATACCTATGTGTAACCCTTTTTCCTGAGCTGGAGAAGCTCGTGGTCTCAATAATGTCTCATGACAAAGAATCCCACGGGCTAATTATGTGCTGTGTACAGATGTATTTCCTTTTTATTGGTTTTGAATGTGATGCCTTTAATTTTATTGAATGTCCCTTGTTATGTAATAGAAGAAAAATGTAAATAGAAACTCCCCATTTGCTTTCCCTTAGACTGCATAGTTTTGTAATGTCTTCTAGCTAAGGTAAACATCATTTTTAAAAAAAAAAATTATCCACCTTGCAGTCATTAGAATCACTTCCTTTGCCTGGCCCTGAACCCTATTTGCAGTTTTATTGACATGTTTTGAGCTATTCTGTTCTTCATAATACAGAGCAGACCATCTGAGTTGTTCTCTTTTAAATTAATTAATCCAAAGATGGCAGTGTGCTAATGATTCCTTTCCATTTAAATCTGCAAAGACTGGGGAATGCCCGATGTTATCATAGTTTGACAGCCCTGGTATCAATAAGTTGCCCCAATTACTGCTTTTAAAAAAGAACTTAGGAAAAAAATTGTCTGCATGTATTCTTAATAACTGCAGGGGAGAAATTCCTCTTAAACCCTGATAAACAGCTTGGCAAAAGCAGATTTTATCTACTGTGGTTTGAGACCAATACCTATTTAGCCGAGGTGAGCAGAGAGAGGCTGACATCTTAGAGGGAAGGATAATGTTTGCATCAAAATGACAGATGAGGATTTAGCATATAAAACATTACCTTCAGAATTGATTCACAGTTCCTTCCCTTTCTATTTCCAAGCTTCAGTACGGAAGAAGAAGGGTAAGGGGAAGCATTTTGTCTCTTGTTTAACCTGTTTCTCACCTTTCCATAGTGAAGGATAATAACAATGTAAATGTTGGCATATGGTCCAGTTTCTTTTATGGTGTCAAATGTACATTAATTATTGTATATGTTTTTTTTAGTTAATTAGTTAATAAATTGCAAACACACTAAGAAACTCAAATAGAAGACCACATTCGAAAATATCCCCTGCATTTCTTCCTTTTGTCTCCTTTCCTTCACCTTGCCTTTTTTTTCCTTCTCTGTACCTGACTCTTCTCCAACCCCTTCCATCTCATCTCCTCACGGTTCCTGTGCTGACTGGCAGCCACAGAGAGTTAGTGGCCAGTGACCCCCCAGTGCAGTCCCACATTAGTGATCCCGCTCGTCTCCCCAGCGGCCACACGTTTTCCCATGCCCACACTGTGTCTGGCTCAGGAATCAGGGATCTTGCACACCACACCTGAGCTTCTCACGTGCAGAAATGCTGCTCTGTCTGGTAGATCATCTTCCACGCTGTCCTGTATGCATGGAGTGCCCTCCCTGGACTGATTCATGAGGCCACCTACCACCTTCTCCTTGAAATCTCTCCCAGAGACCCACCTCCCCTAGATCCCCACTGAGCAATCATCCCAGCACTGATGGCGAGGCAGGGGGGCAGGTAGAAATAGCAGTGCTATTTTAATAGTTTTCATGAATGTATTTTTGTGTACAGAGAGTTTGTTTGTGTTGAGCTGTACTTTTTCCATGCTCCTGTACGTCATTTTGCTTCCCTAGATTGTGAGCTCTCCCGAGCAGGGGCTGTTCATTTCCACCTTCTCATGGAGCGTGGCCCAAGGAAGAGTCTCCCACTTCCCTGAGCCCCTGGGTGCTAGCTGGTGAAAAACAGGCTGTGTCCTGCTCTTGGATGAGGTTCAGTGTTATGGAAAAGAAATCTAGGCTGTAGGCAGTGTCTTCTCTCAGCAGGGAGGCTTTTCCTTTTTGACATTTAATAGGACGGAATTGGGTTATTTTCCACTCTTTATTTTCCTGCTCTTTCCTGACCTCCTTTCAGGTGGTTACCAGAGGTTCCAGCTAGGGATATTTGCTATTCTCCATTCAGAGATTATGACAGAATAAACCACATTGCTACTGAAAAATATGTTTTGGCAGCATATAAAAAAAATCTTTGTATTTTTGTGTAGAGTCTTCTGTCAACCACGAATTCAGTTTTCTGGGTCAGAGATGAGGGAGGCATTAAGATAACGATAATGGCTTCTGTGGTTCTTGTCTGACTGGTCTTGTTGATTATCTCTGGAGATGGGTTCTGGTTCATTGGGAAAGCAGGGGAAAGGCAGGGCAGGACAGGACATAGGCTATATTTTTTATATGCAGGATAGAAGATAGGGTATTTGTGTCTAAAAAGCTGATAAAATCCTTAGGTTTGGAGCAGCATGGCATAGGCAGTTCTGTCAATTTACTGCAGTTACAAAGCATGAATTTAACTAAAATTTAACTTCATCTGTGCCACTGACTTTCTGCTTGCAGTAGTTGCCTGACTCAGAGGTAGCTTCCAGCCTTGAAATGTGTGTGTGGAAGGGTTGTGTTTCCAAACTACTTTCTGGATTTTGTGGGATACCTGGGATGGGGGAGAGGTGTTCTTCTTTCCTGTGCCCTGTAGTTTTCCAAGAACCATTGTATGAGTAAGTTATGGCAACGTGTAAACCAAGAGTTGTAGCAGAACTTGTTGGAGGGAGCACTTAAAATGTGATTCCATTAATACTGAACAGTACCCAGGATATTCATGCAGCAAATTGAAATGAAGGCTTGAAAACACTCTGAAAATGAAAGATTAAGGGAAAAATTTGAGGCCATAATTTTCATCATCACGACGGGAAAATAGGTATCATTAGAGCTTCAAAATTAATATTTAAAACTTTATATTTAACTCTGTTCATAAGTTTATGCAGCTGGTGGAGAGGTTAGTTTTAAATGGCTTTTCCTTCAGTTTTTGTTTTGACTTATGAATAACTCCTTGTGGAGGGAGAATTTGAAAATTATATGATCCCTAAGGAACACATCCATAAGCTAAGATCTGTAAATGTCTAAATACAAGATTTAAAAGTTTCCTGCTCCTCAGCTTTCTTTGCTGCCAGGAAATGGGTTTGATATAGTGAGTAATTTTGGGAATTTCAGTGAAAGCTGAAGTGGACAGTTGAATTTTAAAACACCTAATATAAAATCCTCTAAGAGAAAGGACAAAATTAAGAACAGAGCAGGTTAAATTTCCACAGTGAAATGGGAATGACAAATAATCCTTCTGCATTAATAAATAATCTGCTGGCAGTGTCACATGGGTGTCAGCTGTGAGCTGGGGTGGTGCTGTTTGTTCTTAGATTTGATATGGTAATCAATATAAAATACTGATATATACCATGTACTGATAAAGTATGTGTGTTGGTCCTGGTCTTTGGGCTTTGGTGTGGGCTGCAGTACCAACTACAAATAATGGATTTTCTCCTTTGAAGGGTTTAGATTCTATCACCACCTCACAGATGCACAATAACTGTGGTATCATCAACACAGAATATTGTTACCTGGCATCAAGTCTGACTGGCATTTGAATAGAAAAATATCAGTTGATGGCATTCAAAAGAAATATTATTAGCTCTGTCTGCAATAAGCATTCCCACTTCATCTCATTCCTGTTGTCCATTGTTTCAAAGGTGGCACCTTCCAATGGCATCTGAAACAATGAAATTGCAGAGCAAATATATATAAATGAATGCCAAGCAGTGGATTAGCTCACAGTGTTCTGTTCTGTTTGAAGAGACCACTCCCAAAGCCGTCTGGGTTCAAAACTCACTTTCTTTATTTCACTGTGGTGGAGTTGATGATGGAGATTTGTCTGCAGGGAACAATGGGAATACCACCAAAGCAACTTTTACAGCACTCACCACAGCAGCTCCTGAGATAGCTCCCAGCACCTGCAGTACTTCTCTGTAGGAAGAAGGTTTTCAGATCTTCACCAGACACTATTTCAGAAGATGAGAGCAAAAGGCATCAGGCTTCATGAAGAATTCTTGAAGGTTATCCCTTGTAAGTAATTGATTCACATTACATATTTGAAATTCTAATGAGGTGGCAGTGTAGTAATGAGGAAGAGGTTGTCATCGGGTTGTCACTTATCTCAAGCAGCAAGCAGTGACTCTGGGTGGAATTTGTCAAGTCTGTGTGAAGAAATGCCAGCCCCATTTGTGGTCGGTGCAGCAAGGCTGCAGATTTTATGGCTTGTAGTGTAACTTGGGGGAGCCCACAGCAGTGTAAGTGTAGGATTAGGACCGTGGCTACAATATAAGTACTTGTAAAACAATTTGTGAGAGCAAAGTATTGAAAATTGGCATGTTTCAAAAAGGGAACAATGCTAAACCTGTGTTTTCCATGAAAAATAACTTGGCAATGTGTTGATCAGCAACCTGTGCCACAGAATCCAAACTTAACAGGACACTCCTGATACTAAAGACTTATTCAGACCAGGAATTACCTTTCATGAGATGCTTTAACATTTTGGAAACACTGGGAATCATGAGTAGAGGCTGCTTGAGTCTGTATGGGTGTTCTCATCTACACTGTTATTATGAATTTATCAGCTTTTTCTTGAGGAGGTAGCGCCCTGTCATGATACTTGCTTTCCTTTACTACAGGAGTGTAATTGAAAAGGTTTTTAAAACCTTTCTGCATCAGCCAAACAAGACAATGGTACAAAAGAAGTTGGAAAAGGAATTGTAAGTGTTACAGAAAATGTGGGGTTTGTAGCATTTGCAAAGAGACACATTAAATACGTTGGTTTATGTGAGTGTGACTATGCTCAGATATTATCAATTTAATATCTAAGCACATATTCAAAATCATGAGGGCTTGAGGAACAGTTAAAATTGCATGTGTTTCCCAACATGGCACAGTTAGGGCAGTGGAAAACTCTTTCAGCACTTTTAATGTGTTCTCTCTCTTTTTCAGGAGCCAGGGAGATGAAGGACTTATCTCCCTCATCTCAAAACTCCCTTTGCTGCTATTTTTTTTTCTTTTTCCTTCAAATGTTCACATACCCATGTTAATTAATTTCTAATCTAATGAAAAATAAATTGTTTTAGATAATTCCTCATAGTTTGTTTGGTTTTTCCCCTCGGTGTGGAAGCATGAGAGTAAAGTGTAAGACCAGAGAAGGCTGTAAGTGTCTTAGATCCTCCACTTTCTTTTTGGTTTCTTTGATTCAATTGCCTTTCTTTTGTGACTAGGCCAAATTTTCAAATGCTGTCTCTTAAACAGAACATCAAATTGCCATTTAAATTCCACCTGGCTTGCAGGGTAGGAGTGGGTATTGACTATATTCTCTGCTTTGTTTTTGTTCTTGAACAGAAACCACTGTTAGACAATGACCATTCCTCTTTCAAGGTAGGCTGAATTGCAAGGCTTCAGCATTGCAGGTGTATTTTAAATGCCTGTATCATTATTTCCTTAATAATGAACATGCTGTTAAAGAGCTGGTACTTGAAAATTGTATCTCTGGAAAGAATTTGAACATATCCGTTTTCTGCCTTCCTTAAAAATTACTTTTGATGGTGTGGTTATAATGTGTAAATGTGACTTGTGTGTAATAATGTGAAGCTGTTTTCAGCCCTAGAAACACAAATAAGGCTTTCCTTCAAGAAAGTTTTGAGAGCTTTTTATTGTGAATACCTACAAAGCATTTTCATAAATCATGTAATGGTATTTATAGATACTCAATGTTAAATGATTAATTTTAGTAACTAATTTTTTTATGTTTTATTGATTTATTTTACATTTTATTATTTTTTTATTTTAGAGTACTTTGTAGAATTTACAGTATCCCAGAGAACAGACAAGTATTTTTAGTTAATTTTCATAGAAGGAAAGTGTTTCAAGTGCCTTTTGTGTTTGACTGTATTGCAAAGCACTTTTATTATTTCCTCATTATGCTGACTGCTAAAATAATATTCTCT